GGGTCCCTTTGAGTTAAAAATCAACTCCAGCACACAACAACAACAACTATCCAGCCATAGGCACCAAATGTTGCAACACAATTTCTTTGCCAGCAAACCAGATGCCTGCAGCAGCTGAAGCCCAGTGAGGCCCCTTTAAAAACATCGAGGGCATGAACCACTGCTGACCAGACATGAAGGGGGACATCAAGTCTTCTATGTGAAGCTGGAGTGGTGCCTGCCCCAAAGGTGCTGTCCCACCTGTGAGCCACCCACTCATCCCACACGACTGGGACCTCAGAGGAACCTGTAGGACCCAGCATGCCAGAAGTCAGGGAACAAGTGGGTAGGGGGTCCTCAGGGCCCCCACAACATCCGTGTGATCCTGGCCCAGCTGGGTCCCTGATCAGAGCTACATGCTCTCAGAAGGAGTCATGAGCTGACAAACGAGCTATTGTAATGGCAGACACAACCTCAGGGGCTGGAAACAGAAGCTGTAATTACAGGAGAAAAAAACCCACAACTAATTCCAAAATATGACCCTGTGATCCCTGGAACCAGGGAGGAGAAGGAAGGGGAGACTCTCACTATCCTGGTAGAAACAGGGCAACATGAAAAACGCTACGTAGCCAGGCTGAAAATTAAACAGATGTGAATTTTTTTAATTCGAAGGCTTAATTATTCTGACGTTTTCCATAACTTAATCTGAGCCATCACTTCATCTTTAATTATGCATAATGAAATGGATTATTTACAGTAACTAATATGACAGGAAAAACTGAGAAGTGAGAATTGGTGACTTGGCAACTGTTGTTTATCTGTCTATTTATTCAGCCAGTGTTTACTGAGCACCTACTGTGTGACAGTAATTTTTGGAAAATTACCTGATAGCATGAATTGGAGGCTGTTGAGACAGTCCAGGTGAGCAGCAAGCACCTGTTTAGGAGTTAAACAGGGTGGTGGCAGAAAAACTGGAAAAGTTAGATTCAGGAGGCATTGTGGAGGTTAGAAGGGGTTCGGCAGATGTTTGGGTGTGGTGGGCTGGAAAGGAAGACAGCCTTGTGGCCCTGGGATAGGGAAGCAGGGGACTTACAGATCCAGCTTGGCCACGGATTAGTGGCTTGACCTGGGGCAAGACTCTCAACCTCTCGAAGCCTGGGTTTCCTCATGCATAGAAGGGCATATAACTAGCTATTTGGTAGTCTCAGGGAGTCCCTGGGTGGTACAAACAAGTTAATGCACTCAGCTGCTAACCAAAAGGTTCGTGGTTCAAGTCTATCCAGAGAGACACCTTGGAAGAAAGGCTTGGTGATCTACTTCAGAAAAATCAGCCGTTGAAAAATATTATGGTGCACAGTTCTATTCTGTCACATATGAGGTCACCATAAGTCAGAATCGACTGGATTGCTACTGTTTTTTTTTGTTTTTGTTTTTTTTAGCAGTCTCAATTCAGGGACATAGTAAATGAAGTATTGAATCTCTGTTGACTCTCTCCTTGTTCCTTAATGACGTCTTGCTTTCAGTTCAGTCTCAGCTATTCATAGTCCAGAACAGTTTAAAGTCTGCATCTGAAACTTAACTTAAATCTCATTTTCCACTATTCCCCCTCCTGCACCCACCCACCCAAGGCTGCTGCAGCTAAGGCTGGGACTCTGACAGTTTGGAGCATGTGTGGGAATGTGATCTGGCCCGGAGGTTCCCCAACTCCGTTGCCTCCAAGGCCTGGATCCTTCCCTGGGGTGAACAGAAGGAAAGGAGGGAAAGGAAAAGGGACCAGTGTCTCTAGTCAGCTGGTCCTTGTTGCTATCCATCTGTGTTGCTTGTTGTGGTTTCTCTGGCTCGTACTGACTGGCTATTTGTCACCTTAGTGAAGCAGGTGCCAAATATTGGTTCACTTGTGGGGCACAGGTATGGTTCTTCAGAGGGCCTGTGGGGCCTCCCTTTGTAACTTTCCTGACAGGGAGGATCTGGCTCAATGCCTACCCCCTCCGTTGCTGCCACCAACCTTAGGCTTCTAGGCTCGCCTCCTCCAGCAGGCAGTTCTTTTTTTTTAATTTTGTTGTGCTTTAGGTGAAAGGTGACAGCTCAAGTGAGTTTCTTATTTAAAAATTTATACACACAGTGTTTTGTGATATTGGTTGCGATTCCTGCAATTCAACAGCACTCTTCCCCTTTCCACTCCGGGTTCCATGTGTCCATCTGTCCAGTTTTCTTGCCCCTTCC